ATGCATTAATATATTTTCGTCTCTTTATTATATTTCATTGTTCAATTTTGCCTCAGATTATTTCTTAATTTTATGTTCAAACTGATGTGAGTTTACAATAGACCAAAATATTTCTGTAGCATGTCAGGAAAATTCTAATCAATTGTCACGTTTTAACAGCGATTGATTCTGATAAACCAGGTATTAACAATTCTTTATAATTTTAGAAAGTTATGTATTCATGCTTTTTCTTAGTTATTCATATTTAGTAACCATCAGTTGACAATGAGTATCTATATTATAGGTCTCATATATATTAACAATAACGATGGAAAAATTATAAATATTAAGGTAGTGAACAAATTTTCTCCTAACATTTTTAGTTCCTAATATTTTAGGTTTTTAAGTAATGTTTTCCTCATGTCTTTAAAAATAATAAATACATATTTAATCAGTGAAATATTACTATCATTTTTTTATACATTTATGCCATTTTCAACACACTTTACAACTTCTCTACCTCAATAGTCTATAGATGTCTCTAAATATTGGTATAAATTCATCAAACCGTACTTATATTTGGATGTTGTCTATTATTTTGGATTTAAGACATTGTCATACTTGAAAATTTCACTGGCAGGATACAGACTTTTTCCACAAAATTTACGTCATATTGTGGCTACACAAAATTATAAATACGTCTTTATAATCAAAATCAAGGACTCGAACCGGAACCGAAACTGTAAATTATACCGTAGCCGATATTTTTGTGTGAAGCTGGCGTCTCACTTTGTGGAAACTCACAAACTATTAAGAGTTCTGGTTTTCCTTTTTAATAGTTCTGGAATTTCTGATAAGTTAAACAAACAGTTCTGCTCATTAAAGCAGAAAAATCGATCCGGACAAACTGAGACGCCAGGTTCATGCTGCGTTTCACTTTGTCCCTCACGTGTTTTCTTGACATTTGATGCAAGATTTCAAAAGATTCAAAGTTTTACAAGAGTTCTAGAAAAAGTTTTAGCAATAAACATAACTTTTTCAGTATTTAAGTAATTTTTATGCTCTGAAGAAAATATATTTGCAGCTACATAGATAGCGGTGAGACGCTGGTAGAAATCTCAGAGTTCTCGTTCATATAAAATACTTTTCATACAGTTCTGGACATATTTAAGTATTTTCCAAAGAGTTCTAAGGCATTAGCCGTGTTGTACGATTTTTAAATCAATAAAAACTGCCCGAGAATGTACTCCGAGAGAAAAGCACGATACGCTAGTAGAAATTTCGGAGTTCTCATTAATATAAAATATTCTTCATACAGTTCTAAAGCATGCTTAAGGTCCCTGGGTAGTCGCTGTCCTTGTTTGATGACGTCAGAAGCGAGAAAACTCATGTCAAGAATTCTTGCGTTTTATGTTCAAATAAAAAGATCAAGAGCACAATCGTCGTAGAATAGATGTCGAGAATGCATGTATCGGAGCTTGCGCGGCAGGAATAAGTAGAGAAATCACGTAGGAAACTGCTTCTGGCGAGCGAGTACGTCGGAAAATACCGATTCGACCAGAAACAGGAACTACTGTCGGGAAAGACCCGGCTGGCGCCCAACGGAAAACCCGGCGAGATTCGCGTAACGACACCGGGCAAGAGAGCTGCCGGTTAAACGGCGCGCGTTATCATAGCTGCCGTCAAGCGGCTCAGATCTGCCGCCTAAAACTACATCTCGCGGAATAGCGTAAGCGAGAGGATCGCTCTCTTTTAAATTCGTTACGGAATCTCCCGGGGTGGTGAATTCAGTTGTGTGTCCTTGAGGGACACAGGCTAACGAGCTTTATTTCAATGTCACACCGTTATAATAGAGTATCTGTAGGATTAAGTAATTATTTGCCTTAGAGTCCAATAGAATTAAAATATTGTTATTTTACTGTTAACCAGTCTCTAAATTATTACCTCTCCCGGCTGCTCTCCGACGTGTCTGTGGAATCGAGGAAGAATGTGTAAAAATCACGACGCTCTACCAAGCGGAATAGCGAAGGATTCGACTCGCCATTTAGAGAAATAAAACTGAGCTAGCTGAGGTGGGTCCGCTGCCGCGCGAATGCGGGAGCGAAGGAGTCCCGCAACCGACGCGGACGCGAATTGCGGTAAAAAAAAAATATATATATATGTATGTATAATTCAATAAAAACCCCAATCAGAGAATTTTAAAGAACCGAAAAATCCGTAATTTATATAATACCAGAATCTTTATTAGCTAGGGAATCGGAACCAAAAACCGGAACCTTTATTAAATATTTTAATGAACCAAAATCAGAACCAGACCGATATTTTCAACCGAACCGAGTCTTTATTTTTAAATAATTACACTTCTAATTTTTTTAAATTATTTTTATCATATAATAGATAAATGTTCAAATTTTCTCTTATACTTTCATTGTATAAAAGCCTCCATATAATTCGAGATAACTAGAATACAATTTAAAATTTTTACAAAAAATTGCTGTTTTATTAGTCAAGTTTTTAACTCGAGTATTCGTTTAAATATTATTTTTTCATTTCTTCATATCTTAATACATTCTTATATTTTGATATTAAATATAATTTGACTTTTCATTGCTGCGTATTAAAATTAAATGTGAATTTCATTTGTTTAAAAAAAATAATTATAACCAAACGAATAATTTAGTAATGTGTATGCAAATAAGCAATATATATGTATGTGTGTAATTTAGTAATATATATAAATGTGTGTGCTTATATATACATAAATATTGTTCAATTATAGAACAATATAATGTACATTATTGCATAGGACAGTGCACGTTTTTATATATATATATATATATAGTCATTTGTGAATGCAGTTTTAGAAAAGTTAACGCACATATATACATATTCTTTTTTTTAACATTAAACTATCAATATACTTTACGCCGTCAAAATAAAACATCAAAACTCAACATTTTTTCAATTATATGACACATATGATAATATTTTAATAACCATGTAACCAGATATAAAAACTTATACACATTTTTTAACATTTTAACTACTTCACACACGGGTGGATTCAAAAATTTTGATCAATTATTCGTCGATATAAAATGGTGTTTATCTCTGTTCCAAAGTTCTATCAGTATTTGAGATGCATTTAAATTGGGAAATCTCTCTACCCACGATTGAATAAGTCCTGTATGCGACGATTCGTAATTCTTTAGTATCACATGATTCAAATCTGAAACAAACAGATGGAAATTAACACGAGAATAATTTGCTCACTATAATAAAAAATGTAATGAAAGTAGAAAACTATATATTTTTATAAAACAAAATCTTTATTTTTTGGAAATATAACTGCGTCACTGATAGGAATTCCTAGAAAGCAAATTCTATTAGATAACGGAATATACATCGAATATCTCATACATAAAATATCACAGATATAATGTGTGAATCTTCCATAACGAAATAATTATTACTGTATTATACACTGTACGTAATAACGAAATAATTATATATAGGTTGTACGAAAAGTGTCAGAACCCTTGAATATTAAAAAAAAAAAGCATTTTCGAAGAAAATGTTCCATACAAAAATTGTAGGATTTTAAATGGCGCATTAGATAGTAATATTAGTGTGATCTTAGATAGCCTTATTAAGGTCATATAAAAATCACTAAAATTTTTTAATGGAAACCCCTATTTTTAATTACATATTCTTGTAGTTGGCCTCGAGAACTTTTTAAAAGCCAAGTCTTGATTAAATGTTGCTAACTGATGACAAGTTCATTCGTCTTTAGGCAAATATATAGCTTAAAACACTGTCAAAAGTAATTAGAAATTACAAATTACTGATATTCATTGAGATATATGGATTTTAATTTCGCCTTATATAAGAAATGAGCCGGTAGCAAACATTAGTTTCTGCATAAAACAGCCAGACGCAACGAGTTAAAATATTCATGTATCCGTCGATTAGTAATTAACTCTGAACACTCTGCTTAAAAATCTTTTAAACTTAAAGAATAAGATACTCAGATATTTATACAAACCGTCAATAAATGTATTTGGTTGAACAAATATCTTCCTTGGTTCTTTACGTGACAAGATGATGTCTCTCCAACGGGCCCAGGGATAAGTCCCGTTTTCAGGCACTTCACTGTACCTATCATACAGTTCCCTGGCTGACTCGACGTCTCCCATACTTTTATAGACATGTAATTTCACAAGGAAGTTCCCAATAGCCGTTTTACCAACCGTAAAAATTTTCGTTCGATCGACAGTCATTCGGAGGTTCTTCCCGTTTTCAGTCTCAACGACGTTAACAAAATTGTCACCCGCCTCCAGACAAACTCGAAGTAAAACGTAGCGCGCTTGAGCATGAGCCTGCGACCATGTCTTCGTATCAGGTTGATACATTTCGAAAGCCTTCGCGAAACCACCCCATAACAGAGACAACCAATTCACATAAATTATATCGTCTGCCGTTGATTCCTGGTGACCAAATATTTCCAACACGTCCTTCTCTAAGCTCAAGTAAAGACCAACCGCTTCGGCCCTGCATTCTTCATACGAAGACCCCATAGTGCCAAATTTTGAATCGTAAGTTTCTCCTTTTTGGAAAAATATATCTATCCTATCGCCATTTAAAGGGTTTGTCACTTTGTTGCGGTCGAAGTTGTAGGTATCTGGTCCCGTTTGCCTAAAGTATTTACCAGTACCGTGACCGAGCAGTTCATGCAAACCAACTTGCACTTCAAAACTGTCTATCCTGTATTTATGCATCAACGCCTGATCGTCTTCCGAAAGAAACGGTATCGGGTCTTTCATATGCGCAGGTATAACATTTCCTAGAGACACGTTTTTAAAACCCTCGGACTGTCTAATCTCGTCATAATTCGGAATATTTATTCCCGATGGAATGCAAGAACCAGCGAACGTCAGAACATCCAAAGAGGTGAAGTCCGGTCTAAGATATGAATCTTTCTCGAAATCACTGCTCCATGGAAGTCTGGGAATCAATTCCTCAGCTTTGTTGACCAACATAGCAAATTTTGCCGACATTTCCTTATTTACCATCGCCACGAAACCTTCGAACTCACCCCTCTGACCCGCTGGGTCTCTATACGTTTCAATAAAACCGATGTAAGTTTCGATAGCAGGTCCTTTATCTTTTATCCAAAGGCGAGAACCATCTTTATGGTTGTCTAAAGATCCAGTTTTAAAATGATCAATATATTTCTCCAACATGTTTTCCTCAATCTGATTAGACGCGTATTCCTTGGCTTTTGTTAGATTTTCAACAACGAATACCATAAGTTGATCGTAATCACCTCTTGTAATCTTAAATCTGGTATTCTCGTATATTTCCTCGAATAAAGTAATATTAGGATCATCTGAAGTTTCTACAGACGCCAATCGTATTTCATACATATCGACGTTATTATTACTCGCATGATCACATACAGTTGTTTTGAAACATCTGGCATTATAAGATTCCAATCCTTTATGTTGCATAAATGCATTCACCTTATCTGCATCCTCCTTAGTACAGTTTGCAGAAAAATACGTTGTAATTCCTTTATCACCCATTCCCAATGATTTCAGTTTTCCATCTAACGAATAAAGGACTTCTGATATATCGTTCCATATGTTTTGTATCTCTGTCGGATTATTCTTATAAGCTTTTGAAGTCTTTATTATTATTTCAAATGCATCTTTCGAAAGGTTTGGAATAATTTTAGTATCACCCATAGCTTTGTAATTTCCTGCGTTTCCAAATATTCCACAACTATAGACTAAGAAAGCCTGAAAGGTAAGAAATATTGCACTTGTTAGTAAGCCCGTTCGATAATTTGTTAAAAGAAAGGAACAAATATAAAAAGGATATGTTATGAGAAAATAATTCCTCTTACAGTAAACTCATCTTCGGTGACATTAGCGTGTATTACAGCATCTTTTAATTCGTTGATTGGTTCCGTAAGATAAATTTTATGTAATAATGCAAATATCAATGGCGATTCCGGTGATGTCTGTATTAATACTATCAATCCTCCGCTCCATGCAGCCTGGCTCAAATAATGAGCATATAGTTTCTCCTTTTGCGTTAAAGCTTTAAACACATTTTCACATTGTAATGCAACAATAGGCTGATTGTTTGGTAATGTGTACAACGTAGTATCAACGTTCATTGTTGAGTATATGTCCACTTTATACTAGAAATAAAGAAATTAAAATTAAAAAAAACTCAGTAAATATCAAATAACAATAACATTAAATCAGTATTATAATTTCCCACACAACAATCTAAATCTGAAATATAACACATATTGTATATAAGTTACATTATTGACCGGGAAATTATAAAATTGATATAATGTTTCTCTGTTATTTTATGCTACAAGGAAATTATACAAATTACATATATTATATATTAGCAATTGACAGCATAAAAATTATATAAATATTAAATGTAAGATTAATACAAATAAAACGACCTAGTAAAACACCAGTTTACAATAATATTACAACAATGTTATAATTTTCTACTCAATAATATAATTGTTATATATAACTCGTATTGTATCGTACTTATATATACAATAGGAAAAGCTCTATAAACAAAATCTCAAATGCAAAATTGTTCAAATTTTATCTAGGTNACTTATACGACTTTTGTAGCTAAAATTTTGTATTAGTATGTAAATAGTGCTTTATACTGATTTGCTTTATATTGATTCGAAATAATGATTGCAAATAATCTCCCAACATATGGCGTGAAGTGAGTTTTTGCAATTATTAATTTTAACAATTTGAATACATTTAAACTTTGAAATTTAATATATTGATATGAATCTACTATTAAAAACTATACTAAGTACAATTTTTGCAACATATTACATAATATGCAATATGCTTTTATAATTGTCAATTTTAAAGATTAACCTGAATATAACTAAACGTAACCTGAATGTAAATTAAAACATGCGATTTGACATGTTAATACAAATTTACGTTATTAACTATGAACATTACGTTCAATATTAATGTACTACTATAGCTACATATTATCTCAAGTATGTAAGAAATAAATGAATAATTTAATCTGTACTTAACAATAAAAAATATAACCGTGAATTTTCAAGCTGTTTGAGTAAAATGTATTACCAAAATTTTGAGTACTTCGAAGTGATTTACTTACTGAAACAATACAAACCAAATTAAAAGCAACTTGAAGACAAAATACAATATGAAACTTCTTTGCATCAACGTAGATTACGATAAGGGCTGGTAGGTGTGACGAGCAGCAATCTAGAGTGCGTTCCACTTAACGATCGCCAGCATCATTCTATCCTTGTTTCTCTTAAACGTTAAATAAAGACAGAATGCTCGCGATCGTAACAAGTATTAAGTGGAACCTGCCCTTAGATTATGATTGGTGACCTCATGCGGTGAGAGTGCAAAATTCTACATCCAGTGGTCTGTTCTCTTTAACTGAACTGGCTACACTAGTTCAAGAAATTTATGACGTTTTCAATTGGCTGACTCGATTCGGACAGCATTCTGCTGATAGCTATAGTAGATGTGTTTTGAAATTCATTGCCAGCAGTAGAAATCTATAATTTATGTTATATGTACTATAGATTCTCAGTACTGACAGTGAATATCGAAACGCAGTATTGCAAACTATACGTTAGTGTCGGTTCACAATAGGTATTTTAAGCTTTAAAATACATATTGGACAGACACTTGAACTATAGATTGTAGTACTGCCCAAGTCAAGTCGAGTCAGCAAATCGAAAACGCTATGAAGCCCGTATCAAACTATGGATTAGAGATTGAGATTGAATTAAAATTTGACCAGTCAGTGCAAAGTTTACTAAATTTCACTAAACTTGAGTTCAGATAACTGTGTACTGATTTGCTAAATTCAATTCAGTCTCAATCCTTAATCCGTAGTTTGATACAAAATGAAATATTTGTTAGAATTAATTTTTTAAAATAAAAGGAAAATGTACGTACTTTTTTCTCTATTTTTATCTTTTATTACGTCTCTACTTGTTTGTTCCTGTTTGTTTTCTTAAGACTTCAATCCGATAATTTGTCAGACAGCATATGTGAATCAGATTAGTCTAGGGAATTCTCTGTATTAGCGGTTGAGTGCGCGATCCGTTTAGAAATCCGATCCGAGTATCGTAAAACACCCAGCATCGATGATTTTGCCCATTCCGAATTGTAACTGAAAATATATTTTGTAACTAGTAGTTGTGCCATTTTTGGCGAGTTGCGACGGAGCATTGAAGAAAGCCTTTAAAAGCATACACCAATCAGATTCACGAATTTTGCAAGAGTTACAAAACTGCTTTCTCTGCTAAACGCAGCAAGTTATCGACGATCATTAATGCTGCGTTAAACAATTCAGAGGCAGGAATAATGGGTTCCTTGCAAATGATCATGCAAGTTGGTAAAATCGGTATGGCATTTATTCAGTATAGTGTTTATAAAATGTACCGTTATATACTCTTTCGATAAGTTTAACCTCCTTGGTATTTATGGTATTTAACCACCTTGGTATTTATTAAATTGATAGGAATTGTATGTTACCCTATGTCCTGAAAGAATCTCTTGGAAAAATCTGTCTATAGAATATCTGTCTGTTCGAAATAAATAATATTGTCAAAAGTACTGTGCCAAGATTAAGATTTCTGTGAACATAAAATAGATTTTAATATATGTTGGCAATATCATTCTATTCTTGTTATTTATTGAAAATATCAGATAAAAATATATTACGCTAGCGGAGAATATTAGAACGTGATGTTAGTACAATATATTTTCATATATAAATATACATTCAATATAAATATGTCTATTTCATCTTCACTCATCTTTGCATTCATTTATCTCATATAAGCTTTGCATTCTAAAATTGTTTATTATTATTAATTTAGATGTTATACTAGTATAAATTATGTATCTTGTTTCTTTTTAATTATTTTTTAATTATTTTTTCATTTGGACAAAGTTATATATTCCATGGGATTTTTATAAAAGTTTATTATATTTATGTACTGTTAAATTGTATTCATCTTTTACATGATATATCAATTATTTTCAAAACTGAATGTTTCAGCTCCAAGAATTACTAGGATTATTCCATGTGGGATAACTACATTAAATCGAAATAAATATTACTATGTAAATGAAACAAGGGAGCAATCATGGGATGATATTATAGACAGTACAAATACACATATGTTTATGCTTGAAATCTGCCGAGGACTGGGGATTGCTGTATCTCATATATTCAGAGAACCAGCAACAATAAATTATCCTTTTGAAAAAGGACCTCTGAGCCCAAGATTTAGAGGAGAACATGCACTAAGAAGGTATTTTCATATAATGAATATATACATATTTTATATACAAGTTTCTACAATCATTTTTGTATCTTTTTATTTGTCTATACATTTTATTTGTACATACATTTATAAACATTTACATACATATATACAGGGTGTCCCAAACTGTTCTCAGTCCCCGTGGTATACAGATAGAACGAATGAAACTGAGCAGAAAAGTCATATACTATTTTGCAAAATTTGCAAAAATGAGGAATTAATTATTTTGTCTGAGCTAATTAATGCATGGAAAAGGATAGACCGGACATTGTATAAAGAAAATCGTTTACTTTTGAAGATTTCATAGCAACGATAAGCATTAACTGATGAGTAACGCAGCGAGTAGCAAATAGTAACACAGAGTTGTGTGCTGACAAAAACACGCCTCTTGCTTGATACCAATTGTTGCTAGGAGATTTTTAGAAGTAAGCTATTTTTTTTTATACAGTATCTAGTCTACTTTTTCCCTGTGTTTATTAGTTCAAACAAAATAATTCCTCACTAACTATTGTGAATTTTGCAAAATGGTATGTAACTTTTCTGCTTAGTTTCACCTGTTTTACTTGCACGAGAACCGAGAACAGTTTGGGACACTCTATATATAGTTAAGTGATTAAACATAGATATATATATATTTATGTATATATACATGTATATATATATATATACATATGCATACACATACACACAGGATGCTTTATTCATAAGCCAAGGGTCCAAATTAACGTGTTTATACTACGGATTAAATCCATTTAAAGTGTTACAAGCTATTATCTCTGAAAGTACGCATCATAGCAAAAAAATGCTTAAGAAAAAATGGTGTGATTTGAAAAGGGTCAAATAATAGTTAAGTTAATTTTAAAAAAATCAAATTTTCAAGGTTATATGAAGGTCACTATTGATTTTTTAAATGGAATGCCTTACTTTTGATAGCAGATTCTTATAGCTGACATTGAGACGTTTTCAAAATGGTATAATTAAACCTCCTCCCATTAAAAACTTCCTGATTTATAAGTCTTTAAAGTTACAGTAGCGTTGACATTATATAAAGTATATCAGGTGATTATCGTAATGGATCCGCCGTATTAGGAATATTTTGTTATGTACCTAATAGTTGTGTAAATATTAAAATTATCCACATGTATAAGAAATATTAAATATTTTCATATGTTAGATTGATAATATTAAATTTTTTATCACAGGTATCCTTCTGGGGAAGAAAGATGCATTGCTTGTAAATTATGCGAAGCAATATGTCCTGCACAAGCTATTACAATTGAAGCAGAAGAAAGAGCGGATGGATCTCGACGTACTACAAGATATGACATTGACATGTCTAAATGTATTTATTGCGGTTTTTGCCAGGAAGCTTGTCCTGTTGATGCTATTGTTGAGGTATGTCAATTCTATTGTTAAAAATATATAAAAAAGGCAAATAATAGATTAATAACTATTAGGTTGATGCATAATTACCCGCCGTTTACTTTTTGCGTATTTATTATTTATGAATACTGGCGTTTGTTTACTTTTTTAATAAAAACCATTCTTCTATTTTCTATTCTACTATTCTTCTATTTACTTAATAGAAATGTGTGTCGAAAATCATATTCACCTGCGCCATATTATGCTCTACCACTTCGAGAAAGGATGGGCCGCAGCACAGTCGTTCCGCGATCTTAACAATCTTTTTGGCGAAGGAACAATCAGTGAGAGGCAATGTCGGGAGTGGTTTTCTCGTTTCAAATCTAGCGACACAAGCATGGAGGACAAGTTAGGAAGAGGATGGCTATATCAGATTTCGACGATCAGACACTTCTGGCAGTCGTGTTCCTTCGCCAAAAAGATCATTGAGATTGCGGAATGATTGTGCTGTGGTTAAAATTAAACGGCAAAATTAAACGGCGGATAATTATGCATCAACTCAATATAAATAATTATAAATATATAGATAGGTAATGTGCGCGCGCGCACGCACGCGCACACACACACATTTATTTACAAATATTAAAGAAAAATTTTTTTAGGGTCCAAACTTTGAATTTTCAACTGAAACTCATGAAGAAATGCTATATAATAAAGAAAAACTCCTGAATAACGGAGATAAGTGGGAATCTGAAATTGCAAGTAATATTCATGCTGATCATTTGTATCGATAAAAACTGTACTGTAATGTAGTCACAATTAATGTTCCATGTAAGCAAGTATTGTATTAAATAGTAAAAGAATGTTATTCTTATTGTTAATATGTACGAGTATATATGAGTATATGAAATTACTCAAATAGTACGAATAAATATTAAACGTCATGATTGTACATGTTAGGGACTTGCTAAAGATCGTTCGATTTTTAGCCATGTTTTATTAGTGAAACGATATATAATAAATTTAATGAAACTATTTTTCATCATTATCTATTTTCTGCCACTTTTCAGATAACTATTTAATTTCACGTTTGTAAAATGACCAATCTTCTACGTCAATATAATCATCAATAATCCAACGAACTTTTGCAAGTTCTTAATAGTTTAGTAATTTTTCAATGATCTTATAAAGAGAAAAATAGTGAAACGCCCGTTCAGAACAGGCAGCTCCAATGGTTTTGTTTTTCATATACAGGATGTCCCAAACCGTTCTCGGTTCCTGTAGTGTGCAGATAGAAAGAAAGGGTGAAACTGAGCAGAAAAGTCATGTACCATTTTGCAAAATTCGCAATAGTTAATAGAGTTAGAGAATTGATTATTTTATCTGAGCTAATGAACGTACGAGAAAAGGTATACCGGACATTGCACAAAGAAAAATAACTTAATTCTGAGGATTTCCTAGCAACAATGGATATTAACTGATAGCGAGAATCATGTTTTTTTCGGCGCACAACCTTGTCACATGTCGCTCGTTGCTTGCTGTGTTACTCCACCTTTAGGAATCAGTTAATGCTCATTGTTGCTAAGACATCTTCAGAAGTAAGCTATTTTTCTTTAGTGTCCGGTCTATCCTTTGCGTCTACTAGCTCGAACAAAATAATTTTTCACTAACTAATGCGAATTTTGCAAAATGGTATATGACTTTTATAAACTATTAAATAGTATATGATTTTTTTGCTCAGTTTCACCTGTTCTACCTGCACATCACGGGAATCGAGGACGGTTTAGAACATCCTGTATATCAAAGATATCATTTTAGACATTATCATCCTACTGAGTAACAATAAAAAGATCTTAGCCATCGCTTATTATTACTTTAGTAAATAATAACTTAAATTTTTTGTTAATACTTTTAAGTTGTTCTTGTAACTGGTTGTTGACGTTTTTTTTATTGATCTCTCGTCTTACTAAATTGATTAGTTTAGCATATATTAAAATAAATTATGAGAACATTAGCAAAGTCCCTTACGTAAGGTTTGGGATTTCAAGGATCCTGTGTAATCGCTGCAACTGTCCTTGTTTAATGACGCCAGAAGCGAGGAAACATATGCCGGGAATTTCGGCGGTATATGTTCAAATAAAAAGATATACTCGTAAAAATATCTATAATTCAGCACATTAGTAAAATGTTTCCAGTACTTTTTTGCCCCAATAACCAATAAATAACTGTTAAATTAATATTGACCAAATTATGAAAAAAAAAGAAAGGCATATTATGTTAATTTTATGGTAATTTATTGATTGTTAGAGCAAAAGGAAATTATTAGGAACATTTTACTAGTGAATTGATTACAAATATTATTTTGTGCATATATCTTTTTATTTGAATGCTTACCGCAAGACTTCTCGGTATGCGTTTCTTCGCTCCTGACGTCATCTTATCTTAGTACTTTTATACGCAAATTAAAAAAAACAAAGGCAAGTTTCAGGTCTTTGAAGCTACTCCACTTAGAAAAAAAAACGTTGCCACAATAAAACGACTGTTTCTATACTATGTAATTTCTGTTAAATAAAGAACAATGTTGAAAAAAAGTCGTATTTTGCCTATTAATGGAAACTTGAAAAATATACTGAATCTTATAGATTTCGACCTGTTGAACGCGATGATGCTATTAGTTGTCGTTAAAAATGTGGGGAATAGTCCTGAGTATTCAGGATATAATATTTGTTTTTTGTATTTTTTTGTTTTTTCCGTATTTTTAAATCTGTCCATGTTTTGAATTTTTTAATGGCCTTCATATTTTTCTTCATTTGCTCTCTGTATTTTTTTATCAATGCAATAATCAAAGGGACAACTTGATAAATGTGGAGAACAAAAAAGTTCGAAAAAAAATGATGAAAACATAGAAAAATACAGAGAACAAAGGGATGAAGATAAATATAAAGACCGCCAGAAATACAAAAAATTTCAAAATATGGAAAGATTTAAAAATACATAAAAAATACAAAAAAAAATAAAATAAAATAAAAGAGGATACATGAAACCGCCATGCTCGTTGACCCATCCTGGACCCAGTTGAGAGCGGTTTATAGAAATATGTAATGATAAGAAATCTTTCATGCGATCTTGAATACTGGACTGCTCCCCACATTTTCAATGAAAACGAATAGCACCATTGTGTTCAGCAGATCGAAATCTATAAGATTCACTGTTTTTTTACGTTAATAGGCAAATTAGGCGTTAATAGGCCTTTTTTTTTAATTATTCATTTTCTCTTATTCTTATAATTTCGAAGATATTCAAAATGGCAATAGTTTTTAATTATCATACCCTGTATAATAAGAAAAAATTAAATTTTAACATATTTATCATATCTGTATTTTATAACATTTTAATTGAGAGATAAGAAATTTATTAAGACATGTTTGTGATATTGGTTGATATTGGGGTAGAGGGATATTTTAGTCTCTAAAGTATAACAATTTTCATTAGTAGATTTTTGTTGATAAGTCATATAAAAACTTTTATTTATGTTAAAAATAGTTGAAATTCTTCTCAATTAAAAGAAAAATTATGCAATCCTTGAACAAATAAAAGGATGACATTAATAGCTATTTACAAGAATATTTGCGCAGAAAAATATAACAACATTGAATAGCAAAGTCAAAATTATCAGTAATTTATTTATTAGTACACATAAAACAACTATAAAAATTTAAAATAT